ATATCTTTATTAGCTAATGTTAAAATATTATTACCCATCAATCTTTTTTATCTAATATGATCATACGGCTGGGTATTAAAATCATACCAGGACTGATAGCCATATTTAAAATAACATTCGTGTCTTTTATACTCTTTCTCATGTTAGATATCAATACAGTCGTATCATTCTGTACTATAGTATCTTTTAATAATTTCCTAAAAACGTTTTGAGTTTGCAGGCTTTTAGCTCCATGATTAACTATTGACCATCTTGTATTGGCTTGGGCTCCTAGAATTGTATAAACAAAGCTTTCAATGCTCTCTTGAAAAGAACATTTCCGATTTTTGTACCTTCCGAATGATATGCAATGAAGCTACGATAATCAGTAGTCGAATATTGAAAATTAACATAATACCCATCACCATTTTTATCGAATTTTAAAATACCTTTATAAGGTATATGCTTTTTCAATTCCGTAAAGTCATATTTGTCTAATAACGATGGATGCTTCATAAATTTTCGGATCTGATAATACAAATGATATTTAACAAGGCTTTGTATAATTCTACTTTTATCAAAATTTAAATGATTAAGCCCGATTCCACATAAAAAACTAGCCACATAAGCCAAACAAATCATAGCGTAGTAAGCTTCTTTTTTATAATTTAAATGACTTTTAATATTATATCTTATACCAGTCGGCTGTTCTTTTTTACTTTTAATTTCACTTGTCCACGTGGCTGTTATAGGTGGTAAACTACTCATAAAATAATCATTCTCTGTCACATACAATCTGAAGTTACAGATATCGACATTTACCGGCCTTTGAAATGTAGGTTTTACAATAAACTTTGATGACCACCTATGTAACATATGATCGAAATAGTCCTCAGAATGACCTTCATCTCCATTAACAGCTGCTATTAGATTTGAAAACAAAGGCGTTTTATTTGTTTCTAAATATATTTTTTGGCCATGTTGTATATGATACATGTTTTAAATCATCATCACCTAATTTTATAGCATTTTCTTCTATTTGCTTGTTTGACATATAATATAAGCTATATTATATATGATAAAGTTCACTATTTTTATAGACGGAGATAGTAAAAAGATTGACTTACAAGAAAGTATAGTAACATCTAGCTATTCATATTTATATATCAAAAAAAGCTTATTTGTATTGGAAATATAAAAATATAAAATTAAATAATACTTTAGCTTTTACAATAGGCACAACAAAATATAATATAGATGCTGGTTACTGGACTTTTAAAATGCTTAAAACGTTTCTTGAGTCTGTTAATGTAAAGCTTGAGATGGTAGAAAACAATGGAACTTGTAAAATAACTAATAATAATGACGATATTAGTATTATCTGATACTCTTATTAAAATGTTAGGTTTTAATGATACCATAAAACTATTAAAAAAGGTATCGTACAAAATGGTGTTTCTAAAGTGGATATAAACAGAGGATTAAAGTGTGTGCAAATTTCTTCTAATATTGTAAATTCAAGTTATAATTATAACCCTGAAGGGAAAAAAAGTAATATAGCTTTAACTTTACCAGTAATAACAATTCAGTCATTATTTGGTACTGTATACGAATATAATGATATTGAAACTAGGGTTACAATTATAAAAGAGCCTTTAACGAGCTAATATTTAATATATTAGATCAAGATTTTAACCATGTGAATGTAGGTAGTATTCTACTTGAATGTTATCTTGAGTAAGTTAAATGGATGAAGACATTAAAATTGAGCAAAGTTTAAGAGATATTTATTATGATCCTAAAACAGGATATCAATCATCAGAAAGGCTTTATCAGAAGCATTAGAAGAAGGTATAGATGTTAGTAGAAAACAAGTTAAAGAATGGTTAATATCTCAAGATACATACACTAGATATAAACCTATTATTAGGAGACATAAATTCAGACAAACAAGGGTAAACTATCTTGGTGAACAAATACAAATGGATTTAGTTGATATGGGTTCTTATAAGTATAAAAACAATGGTTATTATTGGATATTAACAGCTGTTGAAATATTAAGTAGATATGCATTTACTATCCCTGTTTATAGGAAAAACACAAATAATATGACAAAAGCTGTTGAAAAACTATTAAGTCAATTTAAAGATAGATTTAATCATTACCCGAAACTAGCTCAATTTGATGATGGTAAAGAATTTTATAATGTAGGTGTCAAATCATTATTAGAGAAACATGGAATTAAGTACTTCTCTACTAAAATGATAAAAGAGCTGCGATTGTCGAATGATTCAACAGAACTCTTAAAACATCTATGTGGAAATATTTTTATAGTAAAGGAACATATAAATGGTTGATATATTGGGTGATTTAGTATATAATTATAACAATACAAAACACAGTACAATCTTGATGAAGCCTAAAGATGTTAATAAAAATAATGAAGATGAAGTATGGAATACATTATACGGTCATGAAGTTGCTTATTTACCATTACCTAAGATTAAAATTGGTGATATGGTTAGGATATCAAATTATAAATTTATATTTACGAAAGGTTATGAAGCAAATTTTACAGAAGAGCTTTTAAAGTGACTAAAGTTATTAGAGGAGATCCTAATTTATATGAGATAGAAGATTTAGAAGGAGAGCCTATAATTGGTAAATTTTATGAAGAGGAACTATCAGTTGTGAATAAGAAAGATGATGTTTATAGAGTTGAAAAGATATTAAAACGTAAGAAGGTTAAAGGTAAAAAGATGGTTTTAGTTAAATGGTTAGGTTATGATAATAAACATAACAGTTGGATTCCTGAAAGTGAAATACAAAATATAGAGTAATCTATATAATGGCAGAAGGAGGTTTTGATTATATTGAATTAGAAGATAAAAAGCAAGAAGATAATAACGATGATTGGCAAAATTTTCAATTTATTGATGATGATAATGAAGATAATAAGCAAGAAGATAATGAATATTATTATGAAACATCATTTACTGATGATAATTATGGTGTAACAATAAGAAAAAAGACAAATAAAACTAATACTCTTCCTGATGTTCCTACTTCCACTCCTGTTTATACAGATATTATTAGTCCTGAAAATAAATTTTCTTTTGCTGTTGAAAAGTTCATTACAAAAAATTATAAAAAAGATTTTAGATTTAGTAACCTAAAAGGTATGGCATATGATGAAGGTTTAAATTTTAGATTAAATCTAGGTAGAACTGATATAAATAATATTACTTACAAACCATTAAATAAAAAAAATAAACGAAGCAAAAAAGGTATAATTGTTTTAACACGTAATAATAATGGAATACTACAATATAATAAAAATAAAATGCTAAAGAAGCTGTTAAACAATTTAAAACGAAATTAAAAGAATTATTAATTTGCAAGATGAATTTATAAAAACTGAAGAAAGTATGCCTATGGTTGATTTAAATAATCAATATACAGAAAATTTCAATCAAATAACTAATCAAGAACTTAGAGAACATATAGGTGTGATGACTCCATCTGGAACTATTGATAAAAGAACACGTCCACAATTTATAGAAGCACAAATAAATCACTTTGCTGAAGAGCTAAACAAAACTATAGCTAGAATAGATGAAATAGAAAATGAAAATGGTATTGACAACAATATTGATAAAATTAATTAACTAATTTGCATGAAAGAGCCGAGGAATTAGAAATTATAATTAGAGAAGAAGAAGAACAATTAGAGAAAGAGGATGTACGAGAGGAACAGGAAGAAGACATTACTAGATTACAGCGGTTTAAAGAATGGGTAAAAAAAAATATCCCAGAAATATCAGCTTTAGCTATATCTATAGCTAGTGTAATTACAACCATTATCATTGCTGCAAGAAAAGCAATCCTACAAGGTGCTCAAGCTACTAGTAAATTTTCTAAGGCTTTAGCAAATATAGGTAAAATATTATGGCCAGTGTTAGGACCATTATTGAATATTATCGCTCAGGCTATATCTGGGGAGCAAAGGTCTAGCATGGGTAGCTTCTAATCTATGGTTTTAGCTATTGCTGCTGCTTTGTTAATATATGATCAGTATAAACAAAGAAGAAAATAAAATATGTTTTAATATATATGAACAGATTATTACAAGAAGAGCTTTTACCTGGGTATAAAAAGACTGCTATGGCAAAAATTAAAGGTAACCGTACTTTTTATAGTATAACCTTTAATCCTAATAGTCTTAAACCGAATGAACAAGTTTATATTAATATTCCGAAATTGAAAGCAAATAGTTGCTTAGTGCCTGGTTCACTTAATCTATCGTGTGATCTTAAAATCAGTAATACAAAAAGTCACTTTATAAATAATCTCAGTCAGATTTTACAACATAGACTACAAATTAAAGTGGCTGGGGAAACCCTTTACGATTGTAGTGAACATAATGTTATAAGTGTATACAAAGACTTGTGGTTACCTAAAAGTGATAGACAAGGTCTTATTGAATATGGCATATGTAGTCAAAATCTAAGAAAACTTATTTCTAAGGATGATAGTGCTGCAACAAGTGGTGATTCACAAAAAGTAGCAGACAAATTAATGTATGATTTTATGGTACAAGGCAGAAAATTAATATTGATAATATTCTTAAAGATCATGGGCTTTATTGTCCTTTCAATATGAATAATAACTTTCAATACATAATAACTTTACCCAAAAGTGATCAAGTCCTTATCGCACAAAGTGGCCAAACTATCGGTGATTATGAATTAGAAAATATTCAGCTAGAATATGAAACTATTGAAAATCAAGAAATTTCTGATGAGGTAACAAATTTATATTCTCAAGGGAGGAGTCTATTTTATGAACATATAACCCTTTTAAAAAAAGAAAAATGGGATAAGTCAAGTACATTACAGAATGTTAACGTCAATGTTCCTAGAAAAAGCATGAAAGGCATTATACTACTATTCAAAGAAAATTCAGTTAGTGATAGTGAAAATTTTGTATATCCACTCGTCGATGAAGTTAAAATAACTGTCGAAGGAGTGCCTAATGTATTTTGCCCAAGGTATGAATAAAAACAATTTTATGAAGAAGCAAGAAAATTTTTGATAGAACTATTCCGATAGATTGCTTCATGACAATTGAAAAATTTTATAAGGATAAATTTGCATTAGTTATCGATCTACGCACCTTTCAAGAAAAAATATTGCTGGTAACGGAAAAAAAATCGTTAATACTCAAAACGGCATTCTCCTAGAAATTAAAAAGAGAGCATATACAAAAGATTTAAACTGTTACATCTATGTCATTAGTGATGCTCTTGTTCAATTTGTTAATAATGATTTACAAAGTATTCAATACTAGAATAACCAGTAATATATAAATGAACACACCCTTTAATATGATTATTTTAGGCATGACTGCTTGCGGCAAAAACTTCTTTCTTTTAAGAATGTTAGAAGAAAACTTTAATAACATTTTGATTATATTATTTTATTATGTCCAACGCTATCATATAATAAAACCTATCAAGAATGGAAATATATAAATGATTCTGATTTAATTAAGGTAGAATGTGACCAAGATCAGGTAGATATTGTTTTAAAATATGTTAGTGATGTATATAAAGGTACCAATAGTCTTATTATACTTGATGACTGTGCAAGTTGCTTAGATGTTAAAAATAGGACATCGCAATTAATAAAATTAGGCTTTAGTGCTCGTCATTATGGGCTTTCTACTATTGTTATAACACAGCAATTGACTAGTATTTCTAAGCCTTATCGCGAAAATATAAGTTATTTAGTTACATTTTATAATACAAACCGCAATGATATGAAAACAATATTTGATGATTATCTTTATGGTGTTGAGAAAGATGATATAGAAGAAATAACCAAAAAATTGAAAAACAATAAGTATGCACATTTAGAAATACAACTTGTATATCCATACCAATGGAAAATTGTTATTCCACAATAAAACATGTGTTAATATATATGCCAAAGCGTAAAGAACCTGAAACAATTGATGATATAATTAATGAGATTGATTCCACAAATGATATTATCAAAGATGGTATGTGATGAAAATATACAAGATAAACCGCAAGAGGGTTTTAATAAAAGAGATCAACTACTTAAACTAGCTGAAGATGGTGATTTAGACAAGTCAGTTGCTTACATTAAAAAGCTAGTCAAAAATTATTGATAAATTATACACTGAATACGAGAAAAACGATTACAAAAGCTAATGAGTTTTTAACTGATTTAGTTATATCAAAATTTTCAGATATATTAAAAGGGTTTGATGCTATTGAAGATCCCAAAGAATTAACAAAACAGCTTAAATCAGACGACCTTTTAAAACGAGATGTTTATAGTTTAGTAGAAAAATATCACCCTATTACCTTTTTAGGTTTTTTATCTGGTGGTATAACAACCGTTAAACATGTTTACGAACATAAAAATAATAAACCGGATATAAAATCTGAGGAATAATATAAATGAGCTTATTTTATGGGCATGATAAAACAGATATTAATGTAAATATACAAGGACCTGTAGATAAAACACATCTATCAGATAACCACTACACTAAAACTCAAGTTAATAATAAATTTAATGACTACTATACTAAAACACAAGCTGATGGTAAGTATGCTTTGACTTCTAATTTACTAAAATATTATACTAAAATGCAAGCTGATAATAAATATGTTTTTGTTTCAAGATTAGCCAACTATTATACAAAGAATGAAACAAATGGTAAGTATGCTTTAAGTTCTAATTTAAATAAATATTACACAAAGACTGAAACAGATGGTAAGTATGCTTTGACTTCTAATTTAAATAACTATTATACTAAAACACAAGCTGATGGTAAGTATGCTTTGACTTCTAATTTAAATAACTATTATACTAAAACACAAGCTGATGGTAAGTATGCTTTGACTTCTAATTTAAATAACTATTATACTAAAACACAAGCTGATGGTAAGTATGCTTTGACTTCTAATTTAAATAACTATTATACTAAAACACAAGCTGATGGTAAGTATGCTTTGACTTCTAATTTAACTAACTATTATACTAAAACACAAGCTGATGGTAAGTATGCTTTGACTTCTAATTTAACTAACTATTATACAAAGAATGAGATTGATAGCAGAGTAAATGGTAAAGTAGTACACCATAGCAATCAATTAAATTATAAAAATTTTAATAGTCGACAAGATACTATCAGAATTTATTTTAATAATGTTAAATTTATTGAATTTACACTTTTATTAATAAATCCGTCTGATAACTCTAAAACAATTGAATTAGATATGATGGCAGATAAGATTAAAAAAATTAAAATAACAAATGATAATGAAAAAAGATAGTTAATGCATTACTAGATTTATATCACGTATACTGTGTTGATGATGATTTAACATATATTTATATTATTATTGAACCAAAAAATCTACAGTTTCAATTGATTATGACGAATGGAAAAGAAAATGGCTTAAAGCATTTAATGGATTAACCAAAATACAAGTTTATTCACAACATCAATCTACATTATCTATGACATTTAATGGTTTTCACATAATTTCGGGGCTACTATAGAAGATAATATTCTATCAACTGAAAAATTTGTAAATGATGAAATCGAAAAATTAAAAAAATTATTAAAGATAACTATCAAGCTAAAACTTAAGATGAAGAATAATCCTCATGTTTGACTAAAACTGTTTGTAATAAGTAATTAATACAAAAGCGATATACAAAAAAATTCAAAATCCTGAAACAATTAGTAAAAACACTTTTAACAAAATTATATAAAACATTGTTAAACATGTACATGTGACACGCACTTGACAGACAAATTAAAAACATATAGATTCCATAGTTTTTAAAGAGCATCTATGACATTGTTGGCTCAAAATTTCAGGCTTAGTTGCCTGAAATTTCTCGACACAACGATTTAAAAGATGCTTTATTAACACTTGATTATTAAAGAATATTTCTACCACGCGCTGAGTTTCAAGACCATTGTTAAAGACCACTAGTTAATCCAATATACCATTGACTATAAAGCGCTGCTACTGATATTTTAATAACATTTTATTATTAACACTTGATTATTAAAGACGGTTTTTAAAATTTAAACGCACCTATATATTTCAAAAACATATAGATTCCATATTTTATAAAGAGCATATATTAAGCCTCTGGTGTCCTACGGACACCAGAGCCGAAAATTGTAGCTAAAGCTAGAAGTTTTACCCACCAGGCTCGCATGAATTCTCGACGATCCATCCCTTCAAGCATGGAGTAAATATTACTTCGTAATATTTACATCATGCATGCGATGCCGGATCGTCTCGAAACGATGCTTTCTTAACATTTATTTCTAAAGATAGTTTTTAAAATTTAAACGCACCTATATATTTCAAAAACATATAGATTCCATATTTTTAAACGACAGATTGAAACCTCGAGATTTTAACCCCCCTTTGAAACAATGACTTTTTTACGCAGCTTTTTTACATGGCCTTTTGCGAGAGGGACGCCTTTGAAAGATGGCCTTTTTCACACTACTTTGAAATAATGACTTTTTTTTTGCACAGCTTTCTTTACATGACCTTTTGCTGAGGGACGCCTTTTGAATCATGGTCTTATTTTGCGCTGTTACAAAGATAGTTTTTACCCAAGGTTAAAAGTAGTATCGTACATGGGGGGATATAGAGCACTAAAAGTGCTCTAGAACCCCCATGTACTATACTACTTGTTTCTACTTAAGGCATTTGTCAATATCTATTTCAGTATTATAAAATCATATTAAATGTTTCAATTAATCATTGAAGATCCTCAAATAATTCAGTTTATCATCTTTGTATAAGAATGTAGATAATGTACATACAAACCTGAACATTGTACACCAGCATCATTAAAATGTACACAATTATGCAATCCCCATTCTCTATGTGAACAACTCGAAATATTACTTTCATTTCCTACACATTGAACGTCGTCTAACCATATCCTTCCACTGCCACGTGGAACATTACGTCGTAGTAAAGCCCTGAAATAATAGTCATAACCAAGTTGTCGACACACAACTTTAGCATCGTTTATATCCCAGCCATCATCACAAATTGTTCCCCATTCTCCATTGTAAAATACCTCTACACGACCTTTGCCAATAGAACTTTCTGGTCCCCGAAGTCTAACAGAGTTGATAACTGATAAAAAAAGAAAATCAAGAGATAATGCAAAACATAGAAGTCTCAACTCCGAAATATTCTAAGTTACATGTATACATATAAATATCCTAATATGTTAGATGCCATTGCAAAATCTTCTTAGGCGAAATTAATGAATTAAATTAGTAACAAAAATTAATAAAAATATTACATGAGTACAATATCAAAACGTTTTAGACAAGTAGACACTATTTGACTTTCATGAGTCTAAATAATTTTTATTTAGATCAGTCCTCATTTCTTTTGTAATATAAATATCTTATTAACACTTTAACTTGCGAATGTTCCCATTAGTTTTCCATCAAACATTTGATTTTATCGCCATATGGTAACACTGACCCATAACTTGTTGAAACAAGAAAAAAATAAAAGTAAATTGTTTACATAGACTCTTCGCTCACAACGTGGAAAACTATATCGTATTTTAAAATAACTGTCTTTTAATTATTCAGAAATACGTTTCTGGTGCTCTCTAGGCATGGCTTTAACTGAACCTTAACGGTCAGTTAAAAACAAATTAAAAATGAATTCTTAAGATAGACAGCACGATATTAAAAGACATAAAATTACACTCAGTGTTAATTTGGAGATGCTTCTGTTAAATATGCAAAAAAAATTTTAATGGGCCTTTATAAGCCACAGCCTACAGCCTTAAAAAGCTATAATGAAGGTAAACAATCGTAAAAAAAACAGACAATTTAAGGATTATTACATTCCTCCACGGAAAATTTGGTCAATGGACTGCCCTTTTTCTCAAGTATTATCGAATCTTTCTATGGGCTATCATAAAATAGTTATGTTTAATTATGTCCTCGTGGAACGAGTTGTGTTTATATGTTTAATTTACGTCCGAAGCTGTGTTTATACTTAACGAATTTGTCAATATTGTTTCAGTATTTGAAATCATATTAAATGTTTCGATTAATCATTGAGGATCCTTTAAATAATTTAGTTTATTATCTTTTTAAATAAATGTAAAAAATGTAGAAACAAACCTGAACATTGTATACCAGCATCTTCATCATGTGTACAATTATGTGATCCCCATCCACTATGTGCACAACTCGAAATATTATTTTCATTTCCTACACAACGAACTTCGTCTAACCATAATCTTCCACTGCCATGTGGAATTACCTCCTAGTAAAGCCCTGCCAGCATAGTCATAACCAAGTTGTCGACACACAACTTTAGCATCGTTTATATCCCAGCCATCATCACAAATTGTTCCCCATTCTCCATTGTAAAATACCTCTACACGACCTTTGCCAATAGAACTTTCTGGTCCCCGAAGTCTAACAGAGTTGATAACTGATAAAAAAAGAAAATAAAGAGATATTGCAAAACATAGAAGTCTTCACTCCAAAATATTCTAAGTTACATGTTTATATATAAAGTATCCTGTTTTGCTGGGTGCCATTGTAAAATATTCTTGTGCGAAATTATTCATTTAAATTAGTAACAAAAATTTGATAAAAAAACTTACATAAGTACAATTTTAAAACGTTTTGGACCATCAGACACACTATTTGACTTTCATGAGTCAAAAAAATTTTTTATTTAGACCAGTCCTCAATTCTTTATGTAATATAAATAAGTTCTTAACCCGTTAACTTGCGAACTTTCCCCATTGGTTTCCCATTAAATCATTTCATTTTATTGCAATATGGCAAAATTACCCCATAAATTGTTGATACAGGCAAAAAATAAAGAGTAAATAGTTCACTCATACTCTTCGTTTAAAACGCGGGAATCTTTATCGCATTTTTAAAATAACTGTCTTTTTAATTATTGAGAAATATGTTTCTGGTGCTCTCTAGGTATGGCTTTAGCTAAATCTTAATGGTCAGTTAAAAACGAATTTAAAAATGAATTGTTAAGATAGACAGCACGCCATTACAAGACATAAAATTACAGTGCAGTGTAAATTTGGAGATGCTCCTTATTAATGTGCAAAAAAATTTTAATGGAGCATCATAAGCTACAGCATACAGCTTTAAATAGCTATAATGAATGTAAACAATCGTAACAAAACTGATAATTTAAGGATTATCATATTCCTCCAAGGAAAAGTTGGCCAATGGACTGCCCATTTTCTCTGGTATTGTCGAATCTTTCTCTGGGTAATCAAAAAATTGGTTATGTTTAATAATGTACTCGTGGAACGAGTTGTGTTTATTTGGTTAATTTACGTCCGAAGCTGTGTTTATACTTAAGGCATTTATCAATATCTATTTCAGTATTATAAAATCATATTAAATGTTTCAATTAATCATTGAAGATCCCTCAAATAATTCAGTTTATCATCTTTGTATAAAAATGTAAATAATGTACATACAAACCTGAACATTGTACACCAGCATCGTTAAAATGTCCACAATTATGCAATCCCCATTCTCTATGTGAACAACTCGAAATATAATTTTCATTTCCTACACATTGAACGTCGTCTAACCATATTCTTCCACTGCCATAAGGAACATAACCTCCTTGTAAAGACATGTAAGCAAAGTCATAACCAAGTTGTCGACACACAACTTTAGCATCGTTTATATCCCAGCCATCATCACAAATTGTTCCCCATTCTCCATTGTAAAATACTTCTACACGACCTTTGCCAATACAACTTTCTGGTCCCCGAAGTCTAACAGGGTTGATAACTAATAAAAAGAGAAAATAAAGAGATATTGCAAAACATAGAATTCTCAACTTCTAAATATTCTAAATTACATGTATACATATAAAGTATCCTAATATGTTAGATGCCATTGTAAAATCTTCTAAGGCGAAATTAATGAATTAAATTAGTAACAAAAAATTGATAAAAAATATTACATGAGTACAATATCAAAACGTTTTAGACAAGTAGACACTATTTGACTTTCATGAGTCTAAATAATTTTTATTTAGATCAGTCCTCATTTCTTTTGTAATATAAATATCTTATTAACACTTTAACTTGCGAATGTTCCCATTAGTTTTCCATCCAAACATTTGATTTTATTGCCATATGGCAACACTGCCCCATAACTTGTTGAATCAAGCAAAATAAGAAGTAAATTGTTCACATAGACTCTTCGCTTACAACGTGGAAAACTATATCGTATTTTGAAAATAACTGTCTTTTACTTATTCAGAAATACGTTTTGGTGCTCTCTAGGTATGGCTTTAGCTAAATCTTAACGGTCACTTAAAACGAATTTAAAATGAATTCTTAAGATAGACAGCACGAAATTAAAAGATATAAAGTTACACTGCAGTGTTAATTTGGAGATGCTCCTTTTAATATGCAAAAATTCTTATGGAGCTACATAAGCTAAAGCCTGCAGCTTTAAAAGCCATAGTTAATGTAAAATCGTAACAAAACAAATAATAAAGGATTATCACATTCCTCCACGGAAAATTTGGTCAATAGGCGGTCCTTTTCTCTGGTATTACTTAATCTTTTTATGGGCATAGTATAATAGGTTATGTTTAATTATGTCCTTGTGGAACAAGTTGTGTTTGTTTAGTTATAAATCCATACCCTGGCACGAGTTACATTCTCCTGAGTATCCTTTCATACACTTGCAGTTTAATGATCCATTAATTTTACGATAGTAAGTGTTGGGTCCACATAAAGGAAGTCGAAAAGTGTTTGTCGCTATATAGAATAATAAAATTAAAAATAAAATCAACTATGGATTTCAAAGAAAACATGTTCTTTCTCAAAGAACACAATTTGTTATTCAGTATCCACTATGACGTACCCAGATAGGAGATTTGTGATGTATTGTCGATATCTTTGGTGTTTACGAATATCGTAAAAACAAAACAATTAAATAAATGTTGAAAATTTACAGAGTATGAACAGATTTGCTGGCTGTTCGGGATACTATAAAGGATGTATCTAAAGAAGTTAGATAATTAAGAAATGTTCAGGAAATTATCAATTCATCAATATTTCTAACAAAATGTGCCAAAGCTCATGTATTTTGGCATTGCCTTGTCTTGATTATTTAAAAGTAAAATTGAATTAAGATTTAATCTCGAAAACCATGAGCGTACTTCGTAATTGCCTCACTTTGAACTGCATGCAGAAAGAAAATGAAAAGTTTCAAATCTAGTTTAATCCAAAGATTTAAGAGTTTGAAGTCTGTTTTGCAATGTACTAAATATTTAGAAGATTTGATAAATATTAAGCTCACTTCACAACATGCTCAAATTGGACGTTTTTGTCTTTCATTCTATTTTCATGAATTTTTTTCTTATTTAAAACTGGTTACAAGCCAGAGTGATTGTTGAAATGATGTAAGAAACAATAAGGATATAAATTTAACACCCAACAAATTTGGCAAGAATAGACAAACGGCAAAAACATCCAGATTAGACACTTTGCACTTTAAACTTAATGTTTATCAAATTTTCTATAATTTTGGAAGGAAGAACAACCGTTTAATAATGCATTGTAACTTTAAACTTTTTAACGTCTTTCAATTTTAAGTACATTAGCGTGAGAGTTTTTGCAAGTCTTAGCTTGTTATGTCAAATAAGTAAATATTTAACTACCGTTTGAGTCAGGAGTGATACTGTGTATAGCTACAGCCAAATCAAGATAACCGTTGTTTACAGGAAGAACATATTTACGCCTCATACGTTGATCTGTTGTGTTATGGACACTAACGACACTTCGTCCGACACTAGTTATGATATAAATGAAATCTTTAAATACTGCCATGGGACCTCCTGAAGTTCCAAAATCAATTACATCATGGGAGTAGTAATCACAAGAAAAAACATTTCCGTTTGAAACTCGCCAATAAATCTTCTCTTTAGCCATGTCAAGCGTTAGATCATGTGCTATTGATTGAAGTGAAACTGAGAAGATATGATGTTTATTTGCATTCATGCTCCATAACCATAAGAAAAGTTCTGTACTTTCTGCCAAGAATAGATACCTTAATAAAAATATTTGTTTTGTACATTGTTTTCTCTATACGTAATGAAATACATAAACAATAAACAGGCTAATATATGCATAAAAGGAAAGATAGATTTTTTTAATTTAGACAAAGATGTTGTCAAAGTATTCAGAACTACTTTCATATATAGACGGTTTAATGGAACATATTCATGAAATTTGTAATATAGCAACATAAAGCTATTTTAGCTAACAGGAAAAGATCATCTTTAATATTTGAAGTCCCTCGTTTGAAAACCGAACTAAAATATATGAAGTAATTAAACATTGCATGTGATTCAGAGCATAATAAATGTAATATGTTATTTTTATTCACATAACTTCTATAATGATTGGTATTGTTTGAGATTGTTGTCGGAATGAGTAATGCTGTAGTTTGGAGTGGCTGCTGAATGAATTGTGTTGGTAATTGATAATGCTAAAAATTATCTGATGCGTGGAAGTTTTGTTCGAATTGAAAATTTGGTGTTGGTAAATGATATGCACCATTTAATGTAGATATAAATTTAAGAAAGCTTTGTCATTTCAGGTTTAAGCTTTCTTAATTTTTCAGTTTCATCTCGCATGAAAAGTAGCAGCTCCTTGGATGGATCATCGTCTACAAATGTCTTTAAAAGAGCTATAGCTTCACAAACATTGTCTTTTGTTGATACTTTTTTTTAGTTTGTTTGGACAAACGATTTTTTACAACTATCTTAACCTTCTCTAATCAAATGTCAAATTTCTTCATTGTTTTTCTGAAAAATTAGAAAAAATTGACACTGGAGCTAGCACTATTGGTATCATTTAAAAATGATTATTCTATCGCCATGTCATGTTCATGTTTTAAGAATCTCTGGATTAGACAAGCTGCAAAACTGCTTGAACACTATGGCCTTACTTTATCAAAATGTTTTATGCATCTGGCAGTTTTAATTATCATCGCAGCATATTTGCATTCTTTATACATTTCTTAAATATATTACTCATTTGAGTAACAGTAAAGTCCTTGTCTTCTTGTCGTTCATTTCACCTTGCCCCGAAGTCTATAAAAACTTTCTCGCATATACTACCATTCTTTTGGTTTTTGTGTTCGTAAAAATTATTTTTTCTTGTAATATGATAAAAATTAATGCCCAACATAAAGTTTTAATTAGAGTCATAGAATTAGACCAAAAGTTTTAAAATGGAATTTATACCGACGTTTCGTCCTTAGTCAAGACATATTCAGTCAAATTTATAATTTATAATGCGATGTTAAGACAAGATATTGTATTGATGTAAGACAAGATAGGTGTTAAATTACGACTTAAGAGGCGGTGTCAAATGGAATATTTGATAAAGAAGTTGGGAAGTAAAATATACTTAAGCT